GCAGGAAAGGGTTTCCTTGCCCTAGTCCGACGGGGAAGACAGACTCCTGGTCTGATGGAGGCTCCAATCTGATGGAGGAGGCACAGGCCAGTCTGAAGGAGACTGACGTTCAGTCCAATGAGCAAAACAGCTACTCTCAGCCCTAAATGTGGTGCCAGTGTCGGGGGGCCCAGGCTGATGGAGGGGTGGAGTGGCTTCAATCATAAAGGGCGTGGCTGCATTTGGAGGAGCCACTCCTCGGGGTGTGGGAATGGAGACGAACACCCTGGGCAGAATGGGGTCCTCGGTCTGAGAAAAGGGAGCAATCCGGCCACGCCGAGACGGATGGAGGAGGCCATGCCCAGAGCTCATGGTCGAGCGAAACAAGGCTCCAGTCCGATAGCAGAGCCTGGCCTGGTCCTCAGGGCCCCTCCCCGGCCTTGAGGGAGGCCGGCGGGCGTCAGTGGGTCTGAGGGCTCCTGTCCTCCTGCCCCCTCCCCCAGGGGTCTGCCAGGTGGACAAGCAGAACCGGGCTGGCTACAGCCCCATCATGCTCACTGCCCTGGCCGCCCTCAAGACCCAGGATGACATCGAGACACTCCTGCAGCTCTTCCGGCTCGGAGACGTCAACGCCAAAGCCAGCCAGGTAGGCCCGGGGCACTGCAGACCGGGGCAGCCCTTCCTGGTTACCAAGTCCTGGCTGTGCGCCAAGCCCAAACGTGACCTCGTTTCATGCCCAGGGAGAGTCCCTGCTCCACAGACAAGGAAACTGAGGCTTAGAGAAGCAGAGTCGTTTTCTCAAGGTCAAACTAGGGAGGGGGCTTTGAACAAGGGGGTCTAGCTCCAGAGCCCCATTCTTGTGCCCTTCCCCGGCAGGTGCGGGACCTTCTGGTGGAAGTGGGTGGGGACGGGCGAGGACATGGGGGTCCCCAGCCTGACACTGTCCCGCATGCTGCTGGGTAGTGCGTTGGGCAGCAGGTGGAAGCCGGAGGCTCAGAGGGTGGGCCAGCAGGCACGGGCCCCACTCTCCTGGAGCTCACAGGCCAGTGGGGCAAGAGCCACTCGCATCAGGCAGCACGGAGGCTTGGAGGGGATTTGGACTGGGCTGCAGAGCGCCACTAGAGGCGTTCCGTCAGGGCAGGGTGCGGCCCACTTTCTGATTTGAAATCTCCCTTCAGCTGCATGTTGGGGAGCAGAAGCCGGGAGACTATGAAAGCCACAGGGGTGTGGACAGGGTCCAGGCAGAGGAGCAGGGCAGCCAGGACTCCGAGGGACAGCCAGGGGAGGGGACTGAACAGCACAGACGCCCTGAAGGGAAGGAGCAGGGCGCTGCGATGTGCATGCAGGAGCAGACCTCTTGCTCTTTTTTATTGATTTCAGCGAGGAAGGGGGAGGGGGAGAGAGAGAAGCATCAGTGATGAGAGGGAAGCATTGATCTGCTGCCTCCTGCACGCCCCCTACTGGGGATCGAGCCCGCAACCTGGGCATGTGCCCTTAACCGAAATCGAACCCGGGACCCTTCAGTCCACTCTATGCACTGAGTCAAACCAGCCAGGGCTGGTTTACTTTCTTTAATTGAGGTGAAATGCACACATTCCCCTTTTAAAGTGCACAGTTCAGTGGCATTTAGTATATTTACAGTGTGTGTAACCATCACTATTCCTACTTCCCGAACATCCCATCACCCCAAAGGGAACCCTGCACCCATTAGCAGTCCTCCCCTGCTCCCTCCCCCAGTCTGCTTTCTGCCTCTGGGTTTGCCTGAATGGGTATTTCATACAAACGGCGTCATGTAGCGTGTGTGCCCTTTAGTGTCCGGCTAATTCACCGAACATGATGTTTTCAAGGCCCGTCCCTGGTGTAAGATGCAGGCTGTGGTACTTCGTTTCTTTTTAAGACTGAATAATGTTCTGTAGTATGGGTTTACCACAGTTTGTTTGTTGCTCACCTGCTGGTGAACACTGATTTAATTTTTATAAAGGCTCAGCTGACATACAGAAAAGTGCACAAATCTAGCGTCATATGTTTTTACCTGTTTACACCTGTGAGTTAGGCGCCTGCTTTAGGTGGGCGTGAGGGTGGGGAGACGAGTGGCATCTCCCTGAGGAGGAGACATTGAAGCTGAGACGTGAGGGGCGAGTGAGACAGGACGGGGAGGGGCCAGCCAATGCCCAGGCCTGTGGGGGGAGGACTGTTTGAGATACAGGAGGCCAGCGAGTGGGGCGCTGTTAGCAGCAGGTCACTCGGGAGCAGGGGCCGTGCCTCAGAGGGCGCTTGTGCAGCAACCTGTGGCTTGTCCTGGGCAGGCCGGGCAGACGGCCCTGATGCTGGCAGTCAGCCACGGGCGCGCGGACGTGGTGAAAGCTCTGCTGGCCTGCAAGGCGGACGTCAACGTGCAGGACGATGACGGCTCCACGGCCCTCATGTGCGCCTGCGAGCACGGCCACAAGGAGATCACAGGACTGCTGCTGGCTGTGCCCAGCTGTGACATCGCGCTCACTGACCGCGTGAGTCAGCACTCGGGTGCCCCTCGGGGCGGGTGGGAGCCGGGTGCCGGGCGTCCTTACAGCAGCCATGCTTTGCAGGACGGGAGCACGGCCTTGATGGTGGCCCTGGACGCAGGGCAGAGTGAAATCGCGTCCATGCTGTACTCCCGCATGAACATCAAGTGCTCGGTGAGTCTCAGCCCTAGCAGGGTGTGGCGGGAGGAGCGTGCAGGGGAGCAGGGCGGGGCTTGGGAGGGGCAGATGTTTATGAAGAGCCGATGGTGGATGGGTCCTGAGCCAGGGACTTAGTAGTCATCTGCTTGTTGAACCTCATGGTGCCCCGTGAGGCCATGAGTCACCGAGAGCTGAGACTGCATGGTCATGGTTGACATCTCGGTATTTGAACCCAGACCTATCTGCACGCTCTTTAAATTATTTTAAAATATATTTTTATTGATTTCAGAGAGGAAGGGAGAAGGACAGAAACATCAATGATGAGAGAGAATCACTGACCAGCTGCCCCCTGCACGCCCCCTACCCAGACATGTGCCCTGAATGGGAATTAAACTGACCTTCTGATTCAGGTCAATGCTCTCAACCACTGAGCCACACCGGCCAGGCCAAATGCATGTTCTTAATCACCATTCACTCATTTGAGAAATATTTACAGAGCCCTGACTGTCTCTGGCCCTCATCTAGGCCCTGGCAACCAGCACTGAACAAAAAGGAAAAAAAGTTTCTGCCCATCATAGAGCAGACAATCTAATAAGAGACAAAATAAAGCAAACTGGTGCAGCATAGCAGGGGATGGTGCGTGCTGGGAAGAAATATGAACCAGGCTGTGAGGGACAGTGAGTGACGGAGGAGCTACCTGAGACCTTCATGAACTGACGCTTGAGCCAGCACCTGAGGACGTGAGGGAGCAAGTGTGTGGCTTTCCAGGCAGAAGGAACAGACAGTGCGAAGGCCTGAGGCAGGGGCTTTCCTGCGTGTGAGGGGCGTCAGGGAGCCCCAGCGAGAAGAGAGGAGGGCAGGGAGGTGATGCCACAGATCACGCAGGGCCCGTGGGCCACCGTGGGGCTTTGGGTTTCACTGTGAGCGTGTCCGTGTGCAGAGGCCTTGAGAAGTCTCGCTGTAAAGAAACCCGACTTAACTGTGTTTAACCCAGCATTTCTCTTATGGACCACAGAAACCTGAGGTGTGTATTTTTTAAAAAGCTTGCCTAGCAAAACACTCTTCCAGAAGCACAATAGGGGGATAATACTGATACCAGCTGTGTCCTGGTGCCTGTGGAGGGAAAAGCCCTTCTAGTCTGATGGAGGAGACAGTCTTTCCAGTCTGATGGGGGAGACAGGGCGGTCCCTGTAAGCCTCACAGCGATTCTCCGTGTGGTGGAGGAGACAGTATACTGAGTGCCTACTGGGTGTGATTGCTGGAACCTTCCACAGTAACTAACCTGATTCGTTTGCATAAAGTACGATTATTATTTTCTACTCCGTTTTTCCAGGTGGGGAGGCAGAGGCTTAGAATGGTTACATCCTTGGTTCAGGGTCTCACAGCCAGGAAGGGGCAGAGGCCCCCGGGTCCTTCTGACTCTAGACCTTGGGCAGGAGCCTCACTGCCCCGCCCACCCCCACCTGCACTGGCCCCAGCTGCCCCGAAGCAAATCCGGGTTTGGGTTCAAGGGTAGCATCGTGGGTGTCAACCACGGCATTTCCCAAAAGGTCCAAGAGGGAGGTTGCAGGCGAGCTGTCCGTCTCCGCCTGGCTCCCAGGTTCTCCTGAGGCTTCGAGCTTTTCTGGCTCCAGGGCACCCACCCGGCCTCAGTGTGCTGCTCAGCATCCCCTGGGGATCCGCTTTGGACCTCAGTTTCCTCAACTGGAAGGTGGGGCCGATGGGGCTGGAGATGGCTCGCTGTCTGATCTGCGCTCCTGCCCCCAGGGACTCTGAGGCAGGAACCCCAATCCTCTCTGTCCACCCGGACCTCTGCCACAGCCTCTGCCTCCCCCACCCTCACTGCCCCTCACTCTGCCCTCCCCACAGCAGCCAGAGGTCAGTGCGGACACCTGAGTCAGCACTCAGTCCTCTCTGGCTCCCACCTCCATTGGAGAAAAAG